GTGTTAACCATCATGTGATGTTTGGTGACATCATCACACAGGTGTTTGTGTTTGAGCTAATGACGTTATGAAACACCTGTGCTTGAGCCCAGAGATCAAAGGTTTCCATGGTGATGTGCAGTAATCAGTGAGAGGAGAGCCTTTCCATTCATCTGAATGAGAGATAAACCTCTTACATGTGAACGTTTTGTTGAAGAACCGTAGCAGATATCGGTGAAATTTCAATTTCAACTTTTTATGTACTTTCGGGTCAATAATGTGGCCTTTTTGGCAGATTAACTGAAGGTGTGCGGCTGCTGCTGTGAGGAAAGATCAGGCTAAATTTACAATGGGCCTTAATGGTTGAACGTTTTTGTCACTTCATGCCCTCAAGAGGCATTTTGTTTAATTGTTTTGCTAAAAGAAAAAAAAAATTGTTCAAGCTAAGAGATGTTTTCCTACAATTCAAGCATACAATTATGTCCAAGGAGTGTAGGGTTTGGGAATTATGGCAGTTTAAAAAAAAAATGTAAGGCGAATTTCAAGCTGTCCTCCACTCTAGCTGTGAGATCACGCACTCTAAGCCTTAACGAGCTGCACAATACACACTAATGTTAAAATCTGAAGAAAGCCTCTTTACCAAGCTCCAAACTAAGTTAAATATCTCAAAAAGTGTAAAAGATATAAACAATCTGAATAACAAGTTTTATAGCTGAAGGTCTTGTGATCATTCAGGGCTCAACGCTAACTTTTAAAAGTGGTTGCCAGGCTGGCAACCAGGCATCAGCTTTTGGTTGCCAAAACTGAAAATACGGTTGCCATTTTTAGTCACCTTATATTTTAAATAATTAAGATACTATACAGTTATACATCAACTTAATAATGAACATGTGACACAAAAGAATGTTCAAATTATTTACAATAAGTAATTAGCACAATTATTTGAAACTTAAGTGGTAGTAAACTTGTCCACCCTCAATTGCTGGTATACAAAATACCAGTAGTGCAGCTGTTGTCATGTTCTTCACAGATCCCTCACAAATGAATTGAGCAAGTCACTAGTTTCTTGGTCATCCGTTGTCTCCCTTTCAAATTTGGTTTTCTTGACCTTTGTGCTGATCCCCACCATAGATCCATTGGCCCTTCAGCATTGAAGTCTTGGATTGGCCAGACTAATACATTTCTAATGTTAAATAAATGAAAACCATTCACAGTTAAGAATTAGATATTAATTATTAATGCTGTAAATTACCTTTAATATGTCTAACTATATTTCAAATGCGTTACCTTTTTATAGAATATTTTCCTATGGTAAAGTTTTGTTTTGCACTTTTATTTTGGTAGTAATAAGATCGGGACTCTTATTTTTGAAGGAACTTTTACCGGAAGTGAATGGACAACTGAGCAGAATGTACATATATATTTCGCCTCCCAAGACTTTACCCATTTCCTCTTTGCTTTTCGTTCGGGTTCACCTTGCGCTTTATCAGTTGAATCACTTTGAACATTCGTTTGAGATGTTGACGGGTTGGCCGAACTTTTTACCCCACAGTCAAACAACTTAATTTGCTTCGCCATTTTTTGTAAAACGAACACACGGCGCACCGCGCACGCGAGTAAACGTGCATCGCTTTCTGGCTCCGTAATTACACCAATGCACGTGGAACTTAAAGTGGACCTATCATGCTATATTTTAAAAATATATTGTAGGGTCATACCTATATAAAACATGTCTGTGAAGTTTTTTTTTCAAAATACCAAACAGATCATGCATTTTAGCCATGCCTCATTTCGCTCTATTTGCTCTATTCCAGCCCTGTTTTTGCAAGGGCTGATTCTGTGACGTAGCTTTAATGCAAATGAGCTGCAGCTGACCACGCCCCCCTGCAGGAGAGGGGGGCGTGCTCAGAGATCAGCAGCTGGGCTCTCAGAAGAGGGGGAGGAAAAGAGAGGCTCCGTTTTTTATTCTTATATTATTATATCGAGTCGTTATTTATTGAGCTTTAAAACAAATGAATAACAAAGAAGACCTCTGACCGGCACTTTTCTAATTTTGTCCGGGAGATTTAAACTTTAACGGACATGTTGACCGGCGAAAGAAAATCGAACTGAAACTCTGCCGCACGGTCCCCTCGTCCCTTGGAAGAGGCGGAGAGGTGGGTGTTTTTCATCTGCTGGTGGACTACCGGAGAGAATTACAGCAGCAGGAGCAAACGCTTGCCTCGGGGAGGGAGAAAAAGAGCCAGAGCATCCACAGCGGAGAATAAACAGAAGGGCAACCATGGCAACCATGCGCGGGAAGTCTTCTTCGCTGCTTTTGTGGCAGACTACAGCGCCACTTACAGGCCTGGCATATGTACTACAGCGTCTCCAGCACTTTCGAGCGGTCTCGTGTAAACGGACACGTTTCTGGTGCCTTTTTTGATAACGATTGCGGTCCGTTTGCAGGTTGAGCGTTGCCCATGTAGGCGGAGCGTCACCGCCCACTATTCCGGGCTGACGTCAGCTCGGATGGAATCTGTATCCGCTCGTTGTAGCCCCGTTTTTAAAAGATTTGGGTACGGAGGAAAAGAGAGAGGGTTTTATTTTCTGACGCTGCGCGAGTTCCCCGACGCACCGGGGACATATATTTATGTATAAAAGACATCACAAAGTGCATTTTGCATGATAGGTCCCCTTTAAGTATCAGGTTCCGACTGGTCACAACAATAATTAAATATCACTCTTAATACAACAAATAATTAACATTTATCTATTTTGGGGTGCACATTTTGCCGTTTGCTGTCCTTATTTGTTTATGTTAAAAACTGATTGCCACTGATGTCAACCAAAGGCCAAGAAGTGGTTGACATTTTTTCTGAATGGTTGCCAATGGCAACCTGGCTACTGTTGAGCCCTGTCATTTTAAAGTTGGAATGATGTCTCTAGCTGAAGGTATGTGGAAGGAGTAGCATTTGGCGCACGGTGTAGTTAAAAGAGGATTTGAAGGTTCCTCCCATTGAGTTACATGTTAAAACTAGAAAATGAATTTCCTGCTGAAAATGTGTGCGAATGCTGTAAACTGTGTACATTTGACCCCCTGAAGTGTGCTTTTTGTCTACTTTCGGGTCAATAATGTGGCCTTTTTGGCAGATTAACTAAAGGTGTGCGGCTGCTGCTGTGAGGAAAGAGCAGGCTGTATTTACAATAGGCCTTAATGGAGACGTGTTGAACGTTTTTGTCACTTCATGCCCTCAAGAGGCATTTTGTTTAATTATTTAGCTTAACTTTTTTTAATTTTCCAACCTAGGAGAGGTTTTCCTACGTTTTTCATGAAAAATAATGTCCAAGGAATGTAGGGTTTGGGAATTATGGCAGGTTTAAAAAAAGAATTTGGGCCAATTTCAAGCTGTCCTCCACTCTGTTTTGAGATCAAAGCACTCTAACCTTAACGAGCTGCGCAATACCAATCTTTACCAAGCTCCAAACTAAGTTAAATATCTCAAAAAGTGTAAAATATATCAATAAACTGAATAACAAGTTTTATAGCTGAATGTCTTGTGATCATTTTAAAGTTGGAATGAAGCCTCTAGCTGAAAGTATGTGGAAGGAGTAGCATTTGGCGCACGGTGTAGTTAAAAGAGGATTTGAAGGTTCCTCCCATTGAGTTCCATGTTAAAAAAAGAGTTTAAAAAGCTGAATATTTCAAAAAGTATAACATATTTTGAAAAAGTTGAAAGTTCCCCATCATGTGCTGCAAAGGCTGAATAGTTTGATATTTGAATGGTTTCTGTAGCTGAAAGTAGGCTGAAGTTATTGAGAGCCAAAGTATTGGTTGAAATAATAAGATTAAAGATTTGAAGAACTATAGTGGAATGCTGTAAACAGCATTCGCACTAACTAGAAAATGCATTTCCTGCAGAAAATGCTTGCGAATGCTGTAAACTGTGAACATTTGTGGCTGAATTTAGCTGAAAATGCAGAAAAAGCTGAATATGTTATTAGCTGAATGGTAGCTGCTTTTAGCTACAAAAACCAAGTAAGTGTGTTGCTGAACTTAGCGGAGAAATGCAGAAAAGTGAAATGATTTGAATCAAATTGTTACAGCTCAAATGCATTGCAATGACTTTGTAGAAAACTTGAAAGTGAAATGTTAAACTGGAAGAGTAGGAAAACTAGAAAATGCATTTCCTGAAGAAAATGCATGCGAATGCTGTAAACTGTGAACATTTGTTGCTTAATTTAGCTGAAAATGCAGTAAAAGCTTAATATGTTATTAGTTGAATGGTCTCTGTAGCTGCTTTTAGCTACGAAAACCAAGTAAGTGTGTTACAAAAATCTGTAAACAGCATTCGCACTAATGACAATAAAAATGTGACGCTGACGTACTTGGCTAGGGGCAACGGCACACAGAGCTAACAGTTCCTCATATTGAAGAAAATAGAAATTGGAGAAAATGTGTATGTTGATAACTGTGTGTGTACCAATCACAGAATGTCTATGGCATGGCAAATACAGTGGTACTTTAATTTATGTCTATATGATGTTGTTGTGAGTGTGGACATAGCAGCTACATATTAGCTTGCCTGATGGATGTGATCTCCATTCAGAAAGCAGGCATTTTAAACGTTTTTTGCCGCCGTCTTGCGGACACACTCGCCCAAATATTAATTCATGGTTCTTACTAATGGGTATCAGGATGTAGTGACGCCATCATTTTGATATGTGTATTGCAATTAAATTACTGTAAAATATGTTCATTTTGTTGTTGGTATTTACAGCCGTATCTACATAGACATGAGCCCTGCCTCCTCGTTGGCACTTTTAGTTTGAGCCACCCGAGTAAACACAAGTAAACACCGCGGTCAGACTCCCGTGAGTAATGCAATGTGAACATTTGCTTCGTGTCCGGTATGAATGCACCTCTAGAGCTGTTCACTTGTTCAGGTGTAAAGAGGGTCTTAGAGTGAACTTGGATAATCGTGTACAAAACTCTATCAATCAATGCTGTAAACACATAACACAAGCAGCAGCAGACTTACAATCTGTTTCTCTGTGTACTTATTGGAGCTCAGTAGGTTGACCGCCTCCATGTGTCCAAAATCAATGTCATGGCCGAGCAGGAAGATGAAGAGCAGCTTGCAGACATATTTCTTCTTGCTGTAGCCATCAAGAGCCTTGTCCCCTTTAAACTTGGAGCGAATGTTGGCCAGCTCTTTATTGATCCGTTTGATCTCAGCTTCCTTGCTCTTACCTGACAGGGGAAAGAAAGTTGTGCAAAATCAGCATTCAAAAGTGGACAAGAAGGACGTTCTCATCCCGTCTTCACTAATACAGTATGGATGATGGAGCACCTCAGCTGTATCAACTGCATTAAGTCACCTGTGTTTCTATACCAAGCAACATGCACGTACAAATTGCTCATTATAGCAACGAGCAGGCATATTCCTACAGAGCCAATATCATGCTCAACACACCTGTAATTCATATTTTCAATTACTACAATTAAATAAATAATATGAAAAAACACCATACAGTCTGCATAAGAGTTACGAGTTAGCTTAAATCAGTGCACATGAACAGAACAGATATGGGGAAACGTTGAAATGACTAAAGTCAATAAAGTACGAGAGAAAGAAATATTTAATAACAACATGGCTATCTGATATAAAGCTAAGTAGTGAGCAGACTCCACTTCGTTATAATAAATGTATCGTATAAAAAACACGTGTTGAAGTCCTACGTTTTTTAGTTTCCCTTTTTATGACAAGCACAGACTACCGCCGCCAGCTGGTATGGAGAGGTATTTCCTCTCACACTGGATCAGAATGTACGTGCTGATTAGCTATTAGCTTTGGTCTTGGTGGTACGTTCAAATCTGACTTTAAGGGCAAACGCAGGCAACATGTTGATCTAGCCTAACTGAACTCTTCTTCACTTCCCTGGTGCATTACTCTGCTGTTGCAACTCAAGTTGTATACGTACGCCATACTCACTTAAAACCCTTTGTGGAATGCCTGCAGCAAGTGAGAGCAAATCACCTGCTTGACAAACACTATATAGTGTGCAACATTATTGGACCTTGTATCCCTTTTGCAAGTTTTAGTGGTACAGATACATTTGGGAAAATGGGGGGCAATAGTAACACCTCAATTGCACCAATCAGAAATACATTTTTGGAAATAAGAAGCATGTGACCTGTGTTAAACCTCTGAAAAAAAGCAAGATTCAATATTTCTAAGCACAAGCAGATAATACAAATGAAAATGGTATGTCTAATGACCTCTGGAGTGAGAAGCCAGCTTCCATGTAGATAAAGTTAAAAAGCAAGACTTTCAGGGCAATTCATTATTTGGGGATATACAAGTCAAAATGATTTTGTATTAATGTTGTAACAAAACAGATAATATCAACTTCAATACAATTCTTTCAAACTAGTGAAACTCAATACCATTGAATGAGAAATAACTAATTGCTTAGCAATTGAAAATTGTCATGGACATTTCTCAGGCCTGAGGGATCACTTTAAAGGTCCCATGTCATGCTTTTCTGGTTATTACCCGTCCCCTTGTGTGTTATGTAGCTTTTTATGCATGTAAATGGTCTGCAGAGTCACAAACCCTCAAAGTACACCCTGTAGCGAGTAAAACTCTAACACAGAAAAGACCTGTCAATGCTGCCCCAGAACGCCTCGTTGGACATTTCTCTTTTTCCATTGTTTTCTTCTTGGGTATAGTGACGTATTTGGGTATAGTGACGTTACGTTACGTCCACGGAGCCGTTACATTTGGACCAATCCGCGGACTTCCTCACACACACACACTCGGCGGGACGTTGCGAGGCTCGCTGCTGCGAGGCTCGCTGCTGCAAGGAGCGGACAGTGTGAACTAGTGTTGCACGGTGTACCGATACTTGAAAGGTACCGCGATACCCTGCCGTTAAAAACGTTACGATTCCTCCGTTTCATTAGTATCGGTACTTTAAGAATGACGGGCAAAAGTACTCCGGTGAGAAAGCGCTGTTTTAATAAGAGCCGTGTGTGTTCAGCGCTCTGCTTCCACTCCCTGTACTGCAGCCGTGCCTGCAGTCCCTCCCCTCTCAAGCATGCTCCAAGACCCCATTTACACGGGAACGAAACGGGTTGTATCCGCATAGTTTCTCTTGCGTATAGCCCTTTCATTTACACAAGGCCGTAACAAAACGATAGAAACGGACCCCGCAAACGATAACGGGTCCCAAGGTGGATAGATCTGCAAACAGAACCCTCTGGGGGGTCAAACGGCTCTGTGTAATCGCCTCTATACGATCATTTCCCGATAGATGAAGCCATAGCCCCGCCTCTCCCCACCTCTGCTGTAGCATGGTCAGTAGCTACTGTCAGTAGCTACTGCTAGTGCTACTGCTACTGACCATGCTACAGATGTTAGTGCAAAATCTACAGCTCCTCTACCACAACCATCAGCAACAAGTGGACATGGAGAATTACATGAACTACTACATGTTGCCAAATCCACCGCGGGGCATAAACAGAAGGGCAACCATGGCAACCATGCTCCGGGGTCTTCTTCGCTGCTTTTGGTGTATTTTGTGGCGGCAGCAGCGCCACTTACAGGCCTGGCATATGTACTACAGCGTTTCCAGCAGGCACGTTAAATGAATTGAATGCGTGTGAACGGAATACTTTTTTGAAAACGCATACGGTGCGTAAACGCAAACGTTCCCGTGTAAAGGCAGCCTAAGTGCCTCCCCTCTCTCATGCACACGCTAGCTGCCAGAGCATGTGAGAAAACGAGAAGCATGGCTGCAAGTGGGAGTGAAACTGCCGCTGCGCCTCGGCTTGTTGACAAAAAAGACGCCAGAAGCTACATTTGGAAGTATTTTAGCTATATCTCTGACAGTGAGGGCAAGCCTACGGACACCACGAGGCCTGTCTGTAAGAAATGTTTTAGATCCCTGCAAACCAAGGGAGCCAACACATCAAACTTGGCTAAGCACCTCGCCGACCGGCATCCAGAGCTCCAACAAGCCGTTTAGGACAGAGAGTGAATACACATACTATACAGAGATGCTGTATGAGAAACCAATGTGAGTTTGGAAAATTGCACAATATAAATCTATTTTAGTATACCTCAACAATGGAATTATGATCAGTAGAAATGGCCATGACATGGAACCTTTAAAACATCAAACATTATTCAAATCTCCATTAGAGCCATTCCGTAACCAAATAAAAACATACCTTGTGAACTGGCATCAAAACACAATTGTTTATATAATACTGTGAAAGCCAAAAAGCTACAAGGCTTGGAAGGGAAAATACGGGTTTGTATTTCTTAGCTAAGCCAATTGTCTAATGCTGCATCCAATAATTACTGGGTGCATTGTTGGAGGTATTATGGAAGGCAGTTACAGTAAAAACGGTATAGAGTAGTAGAGCAATGGCAGATGTAGGGATGAGTTCCAATGAATGGTTCCATTTTGGATCTGTTTCCAGGTTAGCAGAAAACTGCATTTATTAAACCAGTCTAATGATCAAACCTTTCTCACTGATTTTCATAGTCTTTTGTGACATAATGTTATATACTGAGGCTGAATATATTTGTCACCTGTCAACAGATTGGTCCCATACAACATATAATATAACACTCTTACCAAATGACTTTGATTTGTGAGGTATTTAATTCAATGGATGAGCTTTACATAGACATTCCTTCCTGTCTCTGTTAGCTCCCAGACAATTTTGTATACATGTGAATGAATTATATACTAATTACACATACCACGATTAAATATGTTATCATACAAAATGTTATTATATCAATATTAGAAGTCGGAAACTGTTATCAGTAATTTCATTTATTATCTTATTGGCGCTTAGCCTATAGCTCCTTTTGACTAATGTCGTTAATCGTCAATATTACAATTTTAAAATGCGAAAATCTATACAATAAAGTTGCAAATGTATGCAAACGTTTAAAAAAAACATAATCGACGTTTTGAAAATAGCATATGTTTATTTCATGGTGCCCTGTTGATTGTGCCAGTTATAGATGATGGCAGGGTCTTCAGGTTAAGATTCAGCTGTCCTTCCTATCTATTATAAGCCTCAAACTGAAAGCCATTGTTACAGTATGAACTGTCATGCTGTCAGTTTAAAATAATGACATATACACTGCAGTGTGACCAAAGCAGCTTCTAACACAGACGAGGATTCGTGTTCTGCATGTATCGGAGCCTTGATTCCGTTGCAGCAGGTGCGTTAAACAGACATGTCAGCGTCACATCGAGGAGGATGTGTTGTGTACATAGTTAGCGGCTCTTTGCTGTGGTGCCCACCACGTTAATACAACACATGTAAAAAAAGGAATGGGTTAACTGATGAACGACACACATCAGTTACAGGAACGATAGAAAATGTCACTTACAGTTTCTTATGTCCGAAATGAAAACTGCTAATCCGCGCATTCCATCTCCTTTCGACACAGCCGGCATGTTTGCAGATTTGTCCTCACTCCGGCCTTAACGGTATCTGACGTCGCTCAGCCTTTACACCGGACTGGAGTCGAATATGGCCAACTTGACGTTTAGTAGTAGCTAGCTTTTCAGCAATTCCAGTTGCTCGCTACACCTATATCATTCAGTGTTGCTGACGAAGCTCGCGGTGTGCCTGTGGCAGGCTATGTTAGCTCAGATAGCATACACTAGATTAGCTGGATGGTGCTGGAGGATAAATTAGCGTTATCCCTGTTAACTGGCTCGTTTCCGCTGGCTATGGCAAGCTAACGTTATTTCATTCAATCCTTACCTACACATAGAGGCGACGCATATACCATCTACTGTAACGATTCACAAGGTAAAACCCCACACTACTTGGGTGTCTCGCAGATACATGCAGTCAGATGTGTTAGTAGAACAAACGTCACAGAATATAACGTTGAGTTACTTCGAAGTCAAGTGCCGTATAGCTAGCCTAACAGCTAGCTAGCTGTCTACCAATATCATTCAAATACTGGGATACATCACCGGTTGTCCGGGATAACTACGTAGACGCTCTCAAGTGCCAACTTGCAATACGAATTTAAAGCCCGGCTCTCTTAACCACACACTCAATTTGGTAACTGAAATGTGGTGTATAATTGATGTCCGTTCTAATTCTCCAGCCTCCACTCCGTTGCTTGGATAAGGCTCGTGACAGCAGATCTGATCGCGTGACCGCGCCATGCAGTCCGTGCACGCGTACGCCCCTTTCGTTCTACTCTGTGACAGTTCGTGCAGCCTGGGGCTGATTGGTCCAGTTTGGTGGCACTGGGATTACATCTGCCCAAATTCACTGCCCAAAACTGGCTGCCCGGCTCCAGGTACCTGTCATTATAAAGACGTATTAGCACCGGGTACAGAGGCTGCAAATAAGGAAACTGTTTGTAGAATGACAGCGGGGTGGGTGAAGGTCATGTGAAGGTAAAATGACAACAAAGATCCACGTATAATAAAAGAGAAGGTTCATAGTCTATATCTGATGCAACCACACTTTTTTGTTGTTGTAGATAATAATATACATATATAATGATACAATAATTATAATATATATCTATTATAATATATATAATAGAAATCCACAACTAAATGTATTTAAGGTAGCATAATTCGAAACATATCGGTTGTTGTTACATATTTATACTACAAACTGTGGAACCTGCGTTTACACACTGCTTGTCACTGCATTTGTGTGTGGGATTTTGAAACTCCCCTTATATTGAGTCACATGAATACAGATGACATTTAAATAACACCAGACGCACAGCTATATTAAGGGGAATGTCTTATTTCAATTAACAATAAGTTATCAATGAAAGTATATCTAATCTAAATGTATAATTTGACTACACAATGTAGTAAACTAGAACATGCATTTCCTGCTAAGAGCTAAACATTTTTGCAAAGCTAAGCTAAAAAAGCAGGAATGTGAAATGACTTGCCTGGAAAGTGTTAAAGCTTAAATGATACATTCTGAAAAGCTGACACTGCACTGTATAGCTGGCTTGAATGTGTAAGAAGAGGATAAATCAGTAGGAGTAGGTGAGTGAATGGGTTCAATTAGCATTAATGCTATTTAAAATTTGAATACCCATAATGTTTGAAATTTGTATAAAACGGATAATGAATTTAAGATGTGAAAATGTAAAGGATTACATTGATTATGAATCAGAAGATACAAGTTGAACATGCATGAGAAGTAGTGGAAGCAGTATGTGTTGAAGGGATGGAGCATACAGAAAAAGAGTAAGCATCAAAAGAAGTTCTAATTGGATTTTTTACACAAATGAGTTGAAGTGCACTGAGAAGAGTTGAGGTTCCCAATAATTATCTTTGTTGGAATTTTGGAAGGAAAAACACAAACTGAGGTCTAAACTCTGACAAGAGTTTAACTAAGAGCTTTTATTTAAAATAGGTGCATTCTATGTTTCTTGTTATCATACAGTGAGTGTAGCAGTGATGTTCAGATATAATTACTCCATAGGGGTTTTATTTTAAAAAGGGGTTTGGGTGGGTGTTGTGAAGGGGTAGATTCTTAAAAATAGAAAAGCCTGAATCATCCAGTGTGTTGGTATATTTGTTTGTCTGTGTGTCTCAAACGACACTAATTAGCTAATGTCAATCACATGAGCACTTGTGGCACTTATACTCTCTAAGCTGAAAAACTTGAATTCGTACTTTGAAATTATGTTAACATAACATACTATTTAGAATGTAAAAGCTATAACAAGATTAAAAGTGCTTATCATCTCTGTGATATTATCCATATTTATATCCACACACATTTTGTGCATGCGAGTCCAATCATCCCCCTACCTCACTGACCTCCTCACCCCTACTAACACCAACGGTCTCAGATCCACCTCAGCCGGTCTCCTATCAATCCCGAAAGCCAATCTACGCACCTTCAGGGACAGAGCCTTTGCCCAAGGCCCTGGAATTCCCTCCCCCAAGATCTCAGCGACTCCGTGTCCCTCACACTCTTTCAGTCCCTCCTCAAAACAGATCTCTTCTCCTCTGCCTACCCATAGCACCCCCCCCTCCCAATCCATGCCCATTGATCGTCTTTGTTTGTCCTTGTTTTCTTTTCCTTTGTACTCCCCCCATCCTAACCCTCCCCTTATTGTTATGAAAAGCGCTATAGAAATCCAATTTTGTATTATTATTATTAACATATTGTTATCATTAGCAAGAAAAAAGTTTGCCAAACACATTGATTTAGATTTCATGTTGGTGGTGTCAATAACTTGAGCTACTGATCAGGATAGGAAACAGAAACATTCTTCACTCAAGATATGCTGTTTTTCAACACTCAGTTTAACACTGACTTTTTTTGCAGAGGTTTGTTAAAGTTGTTGTCACATTTTGTCCCTTTATGGCAGGTGCGTCAATCTGGTTGCATAATTGTTACTATAGTTATTTTCTGAAATGTTATATGAGGAATGAAAACTTTGGGATTGGCAGAATATTTAAGTCAAATAATGAAAATATTTCTGTGTCTGAAATTACGCAGAAACAGTAATACTTTTAAAGATGATACTTCGAATTTAAGATTTTCTTAAGTGAAATAGGACGTTGATAATTAGATATTTTGCTGCTTATTCAGCATTCACAATGTATTAGTAAAGTAGTTCAGTTATAGTTTCGGCACGCTCCTGCCGATACTTCTTGAAAGTCAGAACCCTATTAAATGCTCCAGGTCTGATGGAAGTTCCAGAAGGAAGTAAAAGTTCAGACACTCTTACTAGGTCCTATTCCAATTCAGCCCCTACACCCTATCCCACTTCCACTCAGTTGGGTGGCTGGTGCCATATTAAGGGACTAAATTAACCAATCAGAATCAAGGGTTCAATTTAGCCGTGTAAATAAAGTTAAATAAACATTCCACTGCATGTAGTCGTAGCTTTTGTATTGATAAAAAAACAAAAAAAAACACATGTTCATTTGAATAGAACATGAAATAGTTGGTATCCTACAGGGCAGCAGTAGTTGAGTCTGTAGGAATTTGGCTTGGTAGCTGGAGGTTTCAGGTCCGAGAAAAGATTAGGGGACAAGTACTTTAAGAGGAGCCAGCTCACTTTCTGGGCACTGCCGAGGTGCCCTTGAGCCTCCCACTGCTCCCAGATGCTGTTTAGTTGCGGATACTAGGGTTACATTTAGAGACTGAATTTTACTGTGAGTGTGCTGTGCTGCACATGTGTGTGACGATTATAAAATTCATTTGAATCCTCCATTTCCATAAATGTTCAGACCAATGGCATTTGAGATGGTACTCAAGCTAAAAATTAAAGTTGGAGAAGTGGCTGTAGAGAAACGGGATTATGGCTAGGTTCTTATCGATGATCCACACTCAGCAGAAGAGGGCGGTAATGGTTAAAACCATAGGTTAATTAAAACCCAAAGAGAAGAAGAATGAGAGCTGGCTGTGGGCGGGGCCTGGGTGTATAAAGAGAGGGCGGGGCGTCGAGCGTCCTTCAGTCTCCCGCAGCCAGGCAGACTACCGAAATGGCGGCGCCAGCAGAGAGGATGGAGGTAAGGTGTCCAATAGAACATTAAATAAACACCTAATTAATTTGTGTACACGCTAAACGCATATCAGTATGATCAGTATTCCAAATGATATATTAGTTGTTGGACTTAACGTTTAGCTTTTGTCCTTGCATTCGCTCCAGCTCATGATGCATCCATTTTAGTTGAAGCTAACTTGCTATCGTTAACGTTACTATGTGATGCACCCGCTCATTCATTTGGGGTTGCTCATCGGATACAGCTACATTTTGACGTATACACTTTTGTGTTTGTTTACTTTTACGTATGTATATCGACTTTGAAATCGATGGCCATCGCTGTACGTTTAAGCGACTTCTGGTGGCAGAAACGTAGTTTTACTTGGTGCGACAGCAAGCCGGCCTGTGGGACCGCATGGGAGCCAGCGTGTTAGCTCCGTTAGCTTTCTGTCTAGCTCAGTGTGAGTGCTGCCTCATCCATTACATTACTCCTCTGTTGGTTCAAACACATTCCACGATCAAGTAAACATCTTCCACCAGCGTCGTGTTTTGTTAGCGGCATCACTATCTTATTTTATGACTTGTTATTTTATTTTATAGTTGTTTGACTTTAGTGACGTAGTAAGTTTAAGCAAACAGCTAATAACGCCGAGAGTGAATTGTCTCTGTGACAATGTGGCCTGACTGTGAGCTGATGTACCGAGGCTTTTGATGAATGTATATTTGACAATATCCTTTTTAGAGGAAGGCCACGATCACTTCAGCACCATGGACCATGTGCTCCATCTTTGTGCGGGCTGGCCTCATTCATTGCCTGCTCGGGCAGTCGCAGCATTGTACATTTATTTTTGGCTTAAACCAAAATCAATATGAATTTATCTATTCAAAAAATAAAATAAACCATCATTAAAAAATCTGTCCAAACACGTGTGTACATCTATAAAATATAAAGGTGGTAGTACAGTGTTTTAGCTGCACATAATTGCAGCTTGTGTCTCAAAAAAACGTAGTTAGTACTCTGTTCAAAGCATATACAATTGTTTTATCTATATTGAGTTTTACCTTTACCATATGGCTGTTTGCTTTATTAATATTCTGCCCGTGTCCTCCATCAAGTAAAACTATCGGTTTTATGTTGGGAGCTTCAGCAGGTCTAATCTCTGCAAACGGATACAATTGTATTTTTTCACCAAACCTGACACAATGGCCAAACTTACTTGGGTTGTAATTGTGGGTGTCTTTTGTTGAGATTTCTCAGGGGGAGAGCTCAGCCAAGCCTGCAGCGGAGGATATGACATCAAAGGACTACTACTTTGACTCTTACGCCCACTTTGGCATCCATGAGGTAATTCCCTTTCAACTCAAACTGCTGTGCTTAGGTTTTCAAATGATCAACCCATATAAAGCGTATCTGTTTTGTGTAACAAGATTTAACCCTCCCTTTGTTCCTTCAAATGTAGGAAATGCTGAAAGATGAGGTTCGCACTCTGACCTATCGCAATTCCATGTTCCACAACAAGCATCTGTTTAAGGACAAGGTGGTGCTGGATGTGGGCAGTGGGACAGGCATTCTCTGCATGTTTGCTGCCAAAGCTGGAGCCAAGAAGGTTATCGGGGTATGTGTTGGTACTAATCCAGTTGGAAGGGTTGACTCATGTTAACTGTTGGTCTTTAGTGGCATAAGAAGGCAGTGTGAATTAAAATGTTGCTCTTTGTCTTATTAGATTGAGTGTAGCAGCATCTCAGACTACGCTGTGAAAATTGTGAAGGCCAACAAGATGGATGACGGTGAGTTAGTGGAATTATTCATGGTCCCATCATTGCATGGTTGCTCAATATAGGAATGTCTTTGGGTCTCACAGGAATCAGGGGCTTAAAGGTTGTAGCTGATGACCCTTTCTGTGTTTACAGTTGTCACCATCATCAAGGGAAAGGTGGAGGAGGTGGAACTGCCTACAGATGGCGTCGACATCATCATATCAGAGTGGATGGGCTACTGCCTCTTCTATGAGTCCATGCTCAACACAGTTATTTATGCCAGGGACAAATGGCTGGTGTGTATATTTGTTTGTCTCTCAACACATTAAAATAAATGAGTTCCTCTGCACTGTAGTGATGAGGTTTCCCACGAGTCCAAACTGACACAACAGTACTTTTGTGGTGTGCTGCCATAACAAATACATTTTTATTTAACCAATCACTTAAAATAAAAACCTTTTTATGCTTTATTTCTATTTTCTCCTGGTAATTCCTATGGCAAGTTGCATTGTATTCATGGACTTCAATTCTAGCTAATATGAGAATTTAAGGTAATGTTTGATTAAATAATATTCTATGGTTTATAGAATTGGCATAACACTGTCAACTGCTATTGGACATTAATCATGAGGTGGCCTTTGACATGTGACAAAATGTACCATGTTGCTCGTTTCTCACACGAGTCTGACTTCTGTTTCCCCTCTACAGAGACCAGATGGACTAATTTTCCCAGACAGGGCAACCCTTTATGTCACTGCCATCGAAGACCGACAGTACAAGGACTACAAAATCCACTGTGAGTAGTTTAACATTCATGGGTCTATGTTGTGTCAGGAGACTCATTGCGAGGTCGTTCCTTGTACTTAATGGATTACGTATATAAATAAACGTATTTACTCATGGGTAATTAGCCATTTTCTACTCTTTAAAAAAAAAAAAAGTATCTTAAAGGTCCCATCTAATGCTTTTCCGGTTATTACCCGTCCCCTTGTGTGTTATGTAGCTTTCTGCATGTAAACGGTCTGCAAACCCTCAAAGTACACCCTGTAGCGAGTAAAACTCTTAACACAGAAAAGACCTGTCTATGCTGCCCCAGAACGACTCGTTGGAGATTTTTCCCCGAGTATAGGGACGTAACAATACCAAGGTCCAAATGGACCAATCCGTGGCGCTCCTCACACACACTCACTCGGCCTTATCTTTTCTCAGCTGCGATTAGGGATGGGTATCGTTAGGATTTTACCGATACTACTTATCGATACCGGTATTTTTCTATACTTTTCAATAATTTGGTGCTCAAAATTATAGACATGATTACAAGATGTGAAGATTAAACGACAGTCATTTTATTGTAATTTATTTTTATTTAATTTAACTTTTTCAATGTCATACCAAGCAGGTATGAGTGTTTGACAGTGTGTCTCTGGAATACCATTATAATCCGTTTATTTATAATTGTAATGATGGATTATCAGTAATCATTTTAAAGTTACACAGACACTGAATTATTAAAGACCGTGGTACAGTTAAGCTCCGACGTTATCGGTCTTTTTATCGGTACTGGAGACATGTAAAAAATGTATTATTGCTAAAACAAACATTATATCGCAGTTTTAGTGTCGCCAACTCAGTTTCTAGTACGCAAAAAGACTGCAAAATGAGTCTATGATTATTTTTAGTATTTTCGATCTTTCCAATCCAGACAAGAGATCTCTCCCCGCATGCTTGCGAGGGGCACACACAATTGGCGGAGAGAACGCGCTCCGAGGTGTGGTTAAACTTTACCCATCTGGATGTGGACAATGCTCGTTACCAAAAGTGCAATAAGAGTTTAGCATGTAAGGGCGGTAACATGAGCAATTTGTCGAAACATTTAGCAAAAGTGCACCACATTCAGATGGAGAAATGCACCGTTTTCGATTGTCTTTCTAGTAGCTCTGTCATCATAGTAGCATCCACGAGTAAGTTTTCCACGTCAGGTATGCTAACCGCAACACACAGTTAACACAATTATACAAACATGGGTTAATGATTAGAGGTAACTGAGTTATTTATTTTGTTAAAGTTTCAGCTATTCTGTTTAAAATTCTGTAATCAGATTATTTAATACGATTTGTTAAAACATTGTTGTTTCTTTTGATGTGAAATATTATGTATTTCATTTAAATAAAAAGCAATGTTAGTTTTGTTCACAATTTGTTTAGTTAGTTTACCTTTTTGTCAAACCTTAACGATACCATCCCTAATCATGGCTACGTAAATTTGTTTTCTTGCTCTTTCCTGGCTGCTAGTTCAGTGAGTTTTGGTCGTACAGTGATGAGACTTATACCAATGGAATCAGCTTTCATGTGATATGTTGTTTGTGCAGATATGGTTAATATCGTCTGTTAGCTGAGTTTCTTCCTGTTCAGTGGGTATGCATCATTAATAGGTTGTTAAATGTTAAGAAGCCTTGAGACGCTGTTTCTAGCAAGATGTTGCGTCTGCCCCTATGGTCTGCCCCCGGGAGTCTCACAATAATAAGAGCACTGTTGGGAGAGATGACGAGTGGCATTCACAGTGGCCAATCAGTGGTAATAAAACCGGATACGTCACACGGAATGAGGGTTCCCAACCAACCAGAATTGTTTAAACTAAGGAAGTAGTGTAATTCATATACCGATAGCAGCACCGTTTGTCCAGCGTCGGGTACTGACTTGGTACCGGTTCTCGATACCCATCCCTAGCCGCGGTACTCCACGGAGTTTCGCCGGCACACACACTCACTCAGCCTTATATTTTCTCACCCGCGGCTCCGTGGATCTCCACTCACAGTTCGCCACACTGCTCAGGCTGAGTTCCGCGGTGTCTCGCAGACCCCACACAGCAACCAGGAAACGACACCAGTAATCCAGCTCACACTGTCCGCTCCTCGAGCGGAGCAGCGAGCCCTGTATCGTCCCACCCAACACCCATTCTCGTTTGTAATTACTGGTGTCCTTTTCTGGTTGTTAACAAACACCATTGTAACACACAAACACACATCAGAGCAGAGTGGGCTCATAAGGAGGGGGGGGCAGGAGCTCCAACAAGGCGTGTAGGACAGTGAATACACATACTATACAGAGATGCTGTATGAGAAACCCAATGTGATTTTGGAACATTGAACAATGTAAATCTATTCTAGTATTCCTCAACAGTGGAATTATGATCAGTGGAAATGGCCATGACATGGGACCTTTAACTCTTGCAACAGTTTCATATAAAACACATTTTATTTTGTTTTCACTGCAGTCCTTAACCATGATCCCAAAACCAAAGTACACATCGCACCATGAAATGTGTTGCCGCCCAGACATTTGACTAATTAGTTCAACCCTTGGCACACGACTGGTGAGCCACACATCTAATTTCTGCTCTTGTGTCTGTATTAGGGTGGGAGAACGTATATGGTTTCGATATGTCCTGCATCAAGGAGGTGGCAATTAAGGAACCCCTGGTTGACGTGGTGGATCCTAAGCAGCTGGTCAGCAGCGCCTGTCTCATCAAGGTGGGTGGACCAATGCTTGCGTTGAGATTGTTATGATTTTCAAATAGTGTCATTCGCAGTGAAGCGTTTTCAATAATAAAGTCTGACTCCTCCCTTTGTTTTTCAGGAGGTGGACATCTACACAGTGAAGGCAGATGATCTGACCTTCACCTCACCATTCTGCCTGCAGGTGAAAAGGAATGACTACATCCATGCCTTGGTCACCTACTTCAACATAGAGTTCACCCGCTGTCACAAGAGGACCGGCTTCTCCACCAGTCAGTATAATTACTAATGATACCACTGGACAGTGTTCTATTGCTGTATATATGTCCTAGTGTCAATAATAACCATATTCCACTCTGTAAGACACTAAATTGTGAGTCTTCGATATGTGTTTGCATACCATGGATTAGAATTGGCAATTAATTAGCACTGGTAATTCTACATCTGTAAACTCTGGTCAAATGGTAACAGTAACACAGAGCATTTTTTACCCAAATGGTTCTTAACGAGATGTAACAAGTGATACTGTTGTACAAAGTACATGCCTGACTTTTGAAAACAGTACAGATGTTTCTACAGTACCATAAGTACAAGGCTGTGTAAATGTATTGGCTATCCAAATGGACCAATCCATGGAGCCGTTACGTTAAATCCGTGGATTGGTCCAAATTGACCAATCTGCGGACTTCCTCACACACTCAATCTTTTCTCAGCTGCAGCTCTGCCGATTTCTCCTCCCTGAGACGGTGGGGCGAGGCTGTGAGTCTGTGTGTTTTCGGGCTGGGTCTCGCAGACGGCCGCTGGGCTTATAGGGAGGGTGGGGGCAGGAGCTCCAACAAGCCGTTTAGGACTGAGTGAATACACATGCTATACAGAGATGCTGTATGAGAAACCAATGCGATTTTGGAAAATTGCACAATATAAATCTATTTCAGTATACCTCAACAATGGAATTATGATCAGTAGAAATGGCCATGAAATGGGCCCTTTTAACAATCGGGGCATTTCATTGGTATCTACTACTTTCTGTAATTATGACATCTTAGTTATTACTGCGTTAGTAGACATGAAGCTTTGTCATATGGAAGGGAACCATGATTTCATCAGTAGGTTGGAGAAACAACTGATTTTTTTTTTTAAGGCTGAAACTGCCTAAACGGAATGAAGTTTTTTGATATTTGGCTGCATTTATGGGTTAAACCCATCCTGCTCTGAACCACTATGATGGGTTCATGCTTTGGGCATTGACTTGGATCAAATAACATCTTCAGAACTCCAAAGTATTGAGTTTTAACAGCAGACTGCTTTTCACTTCCCTCCTCAGGCCCAGAGTCTCCATACACCCACTGGAAGCAGACTGTCTTCTACCTGGACGATTACCTGACTGTGAAGACCGGGGAGGAGATCTTTGGCACAATCAGCATGAAGCCAAACAGCAAGAACAATGTAAGCAACAAGTTTGGAAGTTCTTATCTAGTCTTGTGCTTTGTTCGTTTTGTCTGACACGTTGTTGTGTTTTCAGAGGGATCTGGACTTCACCGTCGACCTGGACTTCAAAGGTCAGCTGTGTGAGGTGTCGAAGACGTCGGAGTACAGGATGCGTTAGAAGTCTCTGTCCCTCCTGGTGTTAGTTTGTCTTGAGTAGAGGACAGGTAATACTGTTTGACTGAGTCTGTACACTAGTTTGATGCTCCCCATGCAGCAACATTTTAGAAACTTCTTTTTTTTGTGGTCATTTTCTTGTTCAGACGTTAACAGTATTTAAAAGGTCTTCACATCCTCTGTCAATGTGAGTTGTCATGGTGACATAGTCGCTAAACATAACTTGTGTTTGACATGTGCCCGGTGTTTGAGTCCAACATGTTCTGGGTTTTCCCCTGAGGTTCTTGTCTTTGCATGAGTGACACCATGGCCGCCCACATGTGTGCACAGTAATACTGTCAGTCACTTTGGGATCTCCTTATGTTTGATTCTGATGAAGTCTTGTGTCATAGACAAGACACCTGTGCACCAAACACCAAATGCCCTGTTCAAACCAAAAATAGCCATGTTTAAGAAAAAAACAAATGTATATCATATTGCAATTTTTGGAAAGATAACTTCAGATCCAAATGTTTACTTGAGACTAAATACCTTTCTTTTTTTCCCACATATTTTTTATAAATGAGCTGTCATTCCACCATTCAAAACTTTTTTTGTTTTTAAGCTGTGGGCAACTTCTCCTTAGGAGAATGATTAACAAACGCCACACTTAAAAAATAATTGAATTTAGTCTGAATACTGTGACTTAATTAAACCCTATTGTTCTCGCGTAACTGTGAACTATAGACTTAAAGCCTGCTTAGAATCGGTATGTGTTTTATATTTGGACAGCACTAGAGATGCTATTCTTGCAGGCAGCACAGTGAGCTGAGATACCAGAGGCTGATTCAAACATGCTCCTGTTGGGGCCTCTGCTGAGCGATGGCTGGGTTGCAGCATTTGAGATGCTCAAGATATCATCCTATGGCTTTAATCCGCTCACACCCTTGAGCATCAGTATGTCCATTAGTGCTTCACATAAGGAGAAGATGGCCATGTGTCCACTGGCCCATATCTGTCAGTTTGTCTTGATCCAGTGGTAACTATGTTGGCACTGCTGGGAGCTCTGACCCCTTGTTTTTCTCTTTTGTATTTTTGTCACCTGCTTGTTTTTTTTTTAAGAAAATAAAACTAATAAACTTTTATTGCATTGGCTACAGAAGTGTTCCTTTCTATGAAAGCATCTCTGTAAAGATGCTTAGCATTACTCCATTGTGTATCCTCTCGAGTAAGTGGTCTGTGATCTGCATATAATAACTTTGACTGAGCCAGGAGTTGTAGCTGTTCAAAAATGTCTTCTCAAATTCTACATTGAGGCCCCGGCTCCACGAGAACAAATACGGCAAAACGCATCGGAGTAACGCAAATGCAACCGCAAAAAACCTTCCGACCACACGCAATATACACCGGATTGTGTCAAGCTCCACGAGACGGCTCCGTTTACATCCAACCGCTGGAAAAGCTGCAGTACATATGCCGAACCTGTACATGGCGCTGTAACTTCCTCCACAAAAGCAGCGAAGAAGAATGGTTGTCATGGCTGCACTTCTGTTTATTCTCCGCGGTGGGGGCACATCCATGGGTGGGGGCCAAGGGAACCGCGCAGAGTTTTTCGCCGGTCAATGTGTGTTAAAGTTTAAATCTTCATGCTTCCTCATGCAGCAGCTGATCCAGTAAGTAAACCCGACAGTAAAAATAAACATATTTATAACTAGTTTAGGTAGTTTGAGAGGTAATTAAAATAGCTAAGGGTGGTGATCTGACATGCAGTGTGTGTTTTGCTCTCGCTGCTTCACAGCCGGAGGAGCTGCGTGTCTCCGTCCTGTCAGATTAGACTTCACTCGCGTTTATGTTCATATCGAGATAAAGATAAATAATCTGAAATCAGTGTGCAGTGTACTTTTGCGGAGGTGAGCAGCAGAGGTGGGGAGAGGCGGGGCTATGAAACGCATGACCGTATAGGCGACCCCACGGCCCCGTTGGACCCCCCAGAGCGCTCCGTTCCCAGATCTATCCACCTTTGGACCCGTTGTCGTTTGCGGGGTATGTTTCTACGTTTCCCTTATGGCGTCGTCGAGCTTAAAGGGCTATACGCATGAGAAATATGCGGATTCAACCCGTTTTCGTCCTCGTGGAGCCTACGCCTGAATCACTGTAAAGAGATAACTGTTTTCAGGAAAGATCTTCCTAAAAATGAGTCTGCAAAACTAATTTGTCATCGATGGTTGTACTGAAAAAAAATCTCAAAATAAATGTCTAATTTAAGCCTGCAGTGGGAGAAGCATACTTGGGAGGAAAGGGTTTTGTACATAGGCATTAGAGTGAAAATGTAAAGAAGTGACTTGCAAAAATTCACCTAATCTTCTAGTGCAGTGGTTCTCAACTGGTGGGTCGCGGACCCGTTTCGAGTGGGTCGCGGATGTGTGAGTGAAGAAAAAAAAGTTGGAAAAAAAAATTAGATTTTTTTTTTTTTTTTTTGGGGGGGGGGAAAAGTCAAACTTTTATTTTGAAGGCCCGATTTTCTTCTCAGAGTGTACCAGAATGCGTAGTTTATGTTAGTATTTCTAAAAATCTCCTGGGGGAGAATCCCCCCAGACCCCCCTGCTGGGGTTGGGTTTCAGCATGTGTGCCTTTTTATATAGTTCAGCTTTGATTCCATCATCTCATTAAACCTTTTTTAAAAGCATACTTTAGTTCTGTGAAGGGATATAAGGGATATATGCACTGTACTTCACTTTTATTAATATTGTATGCTCAAAAGCGTATATATATATATTACAGCACGATTTTTTGTTGAATAGATTTGAGTGCTTCAAAATGTTGGGTCGCGATGTATTGACCAAGTAAAAAGTGGGTCCCGAGGCCTGACCAGTTGAGAACCACTGTTCTAGTGTATATCTATCTACCTGGTGATGTATGTATACATTAACGCTCAGACCGTGAGTTGTGTTGCTTTGTGCTTCTACATGGATCGCTGAAATCGATTTCTGTATGTGACACTCGGAGTCAGTTCTATACAATTTGTCTAGAACCGATAAAGATCAATAGTGTATCCAAGGAATACACAATAGAATGTATAACTAATAAATGAAAAATCTCTAAAGACAAATACACTACAAAAACGTATTGACATGTTGGTTATATACATCTAAAAGGCTTCAAATGTATTGAGTATTGTATGGACATTGTTTGAATTGTGGGGTGGACATCACATCCTCTAGGGGTGTCCATGGATATGCCCCCCCGGGAAGAAATGTTTTAACATTTTAAAGTAAAATACTTCAATCTGGTGCACTTTGAGCAGAATTACTAGAGACTAGATCTAGGGGGTACAACTCTAAAACACCCATATGAAAAAGATCGGTTTACATTTTAATAACCAAATAAGTATGTGAACATAACCAATAACCTACCATAGCCAATAACAAATAAATGTAACTTATTTTTTTTTGTTCATTCATATCTTATTTTACCTAGTTAACATTTATTTATGCATATTTTTTATCCAGTTTTAAACAATATTTTTGGTTTACTGTCCTATAGTATACATTGAAATGATTTAAAACCTGTTTATCCCAATAATTATAAAGGAGTGCCTTGGAAATAGGCCTATTTGTTTACATAAATTGTGATCAAAACGTTTGAGACCCACTGCGATAACTTAGACTAAAGTTAACTATCTAAACACTCAAGAGTCCTTTACCTCACTGAGCCTCTCAGTCTGACAGGAGAGCTCTCCTCCACCATTGTTGTAGAAACATCTTCTTATATCCGTTAGCACAGCTAGCACCAGATGCTAATAACAACAGCGCCGGTACCGGTGCGCCCTCGCTCGCTCCCACGCTCACTCGCACTCTGGCTGTGAGCTGCGGGCGCCAGCCAACATCCTCCACTTTCATCACTTACATCGCCCATCGTACAGGGCAAATGAAAAGTGTAACCGGGGTGAAAAGGGTGTTACATTTACTTAATTATGAATGTTGTTACATCAAGGCCGAAAATTAGGATGAGCACCAACGGTCAAAAATGTTTTTTTCCCTCCCAGAGCTACCAGCGCAGCGCCCCCCCCCAGATCTGGCGCCCTAGGCGACCACCTATGTCGCCTATGCCAAAAACTGGCCCTGGTGACACTACCGGAGTCGAGGACGCTGAAATTAGAGAAATTACAAAGGGTTTAACAAGGTAGTAATGGCAAATATCAGCAATCGAGCCAGGCTTCAGAACCCCAGAGACCTGGGATTCCCGGCCCATCACTCAAGCATACAGGATGAACCTGAACCTAGCACCAAGGCCCAGGAAACTCAACCAGGTAGCTGGAGGCAGCCTACTCTAATGCCATCCCAAACAAACTGATTAAATCCATTAACCAAATTAATCTAAACTTAATTTGGAGAAACAAGCCACATTACATGAAGAAAGGTGATATGGTTAAATAAATTAAAAGTGATTGATTTTGAGTGCCTTAATGGAACTTTAAAAATTAATTGGATCAAGTCTTGGATCAAACATACCAACTCCTTCTGGTACTGTGTTCCAAATCATATATTTAATAAAATTGGAGGTTTGAGATTTCTTCTTAAAGCAGACTTTACTATTGATAAATTGCCTGTATCATTATCAGATTTTCACAAACAGATATTTTTATACTGGAAAATGTTATATGTACATAACTTTTCACCCCATAGTACTACACTTTGGAATAGTAGATATGTGTTGAACAGGAACAAATCTTTATTTTATGAATTCTGACGGCAACTTCATAAAGCACTTCCTCAAGAATTTGTACTTCTGACAAGAAATGTTATGGCTCACCAAACCATACAACCACAACCGCGCTCATTATTTATTAAAGGAATTTTAATCATGGATAAAAAATGCAATAATTACTTTATAAGGAAGTGTCTCACTGAAAAATTATTCCCTGGTAGACTAAACAGAAATGAAATCCGACATAAATTAGTATAAATAAGTCGATTAATAAGTTAAGAACTATGTATCTAACATTCCCTACTCCACCCAAAACAAAAGAAACACACTTCATAATTATGAACAACATTTACCCCTCTAAGGAATTGCTTAGAATACGTTTCAATATTGATGTTAACACGTATGTGAAAAAGATGTTGAAATAACGGACCATGTATTTTTCTCATGCCGTGTTGTACAGAAATTCTGGTTTGATATCCATAAATGGATAAAGAAAAAAATCTCATCATTTCCAGATTCTATCAGTAGAGATAATGTGATATTTGCTATGACCTTGCAAGCTGATGAACTCTGCTGTAATGTTATTTTATGTCTTGCCAAATTTTTTATTCACAAGAATCGAATCCTGAAGTCATCCCCAAAACTGATTGTTTTCTTAAATGAGTTTCAATGGTACCTGAAATCCTTAAAAATACAAAAAGGATCCAAAGCTCAATGTTTATTTAATATTCTGAAAGAATTCCCTACTGATCCGAACTGAAACAGAACCGTACTTATCTCCTTGTATATGTGTTTTATTTCTGTCTTGTTTTTTGTTGTATATTTCTTTTTTTTTTACCTTTTTGTGAAAACCCAATTATATGCTTTACCACCAATTCCCAATGATTTTAACTTGATTAGTAGTCCTTCCTTCCAGAGCATGTCATAAGCCTTTTCAATATCAAAGAAGACTGCAATCATTACTTCCTTGTTGGTCTGTGCTTTCCTGATATCTGATTCTAAGCCCAATATAGAATCCATTGTAATCCGACCATACGGAACCCACTTTGATATGGTGATAACAGAGCTTTACTTTCTAAGATATATGTTAACCTTTCTGTAACCATTCTTTCCATGATTTTGCATAAATGAGATGTCAGGGCAATAGGTCTGTAGCTGGATGGATCTAAAGGGTCTTTCCCTGGCTTTAGGATGGGCACTATTATTGCTTGTTTCCACACTGATGGAAGTTGACCAGTATCCCACACCCTGTTAAACAATCTTAAAGCTCCCATGTCATGCTTTTCCGGTTATTACCCGTCCCCTTGTGTGTTATGAAGGTTTTTATGCATGTAAACGGTGTGCAGAGTCAAAACCCTCAAAGTACACCCTGTAGCGAGTAAAACTCTAACACAGAAAATACCTCCCCAAAACGCCTCGTTGGAGATACGTCACTGCCCAT